TTTGTCTGTCTCTACAGAAGCTGTCAGGGTGAGTCACTTGCCCAAACTGAAGCTCGAGGTGTTCCATTGCCCATGCTTGCCCCTTCAGTGCCCTTTGCCAGTACCCTCAGTGTTTTGTTTGTGTCCAGTCCCTCTGGTCATGGGATCTGGGACCACTCGATGAACCTTGGGAGTGCTGCAGACTTGAAACTGTTACCTTGGCTCCTTTGTCTCTAAGCAGAGTCAAGTTTAATTCCATTTCCCTTTCAAAAATGCATTCTGCCAAACGTCCAAAGTCCAAAGCTGGGACAATTCAAGCAACAAAACAAATAAAGAGTATTGATTACTCATAAAATAAATCGAATACCCATGAGGCCATACTTACATAAATAATTGAATACGTTAGTAAATGAGGTGAAAGAACAATGGAATTCTAATCAATACATGTAGAAGGAATGAGAGAAATAGAAAATCACAATTAAGCAAACACCATAGCAATAAGTGTTTCAGATAGCATTTATCAGGGGATGCAAACTTTAGTCTGCCAGAGTTTGGAGAGAGGCCAGGATATTTGTACTCTCAGAGTACAAGGTCATTAATTACAAAGGGAATATAATGACTTTATTATGAAGGGACCTTTCAGATACCACCTTTACCATGTGATCAGGGTTAATATCACCAGTGATAAGACTCATAATTATATACCCATGAAATGATACCCTCAGAAGGTATTAATTAAGATTCTCCAAAGCAACAGAACCAATAAAACATAAAGACATTTATTATAAGGAATGGCTCACACAGTTATGGAGGCTGACAAGTCCCCAGAGCTACAGAATGAGCGGGAGGCCCAGGAGAACCCATTGTTAGAGTTCTGATGTGATACTGAAGAGCTGAGAACTAGGAGAACTAATGGTACCGTTCGGTCTGAGGCTGGCAGGATTGAGAGTAGGGAAGAGCCAAAGTTTCAGAATGAGTCTGAAGGCAGGAAAATGCCAGTGTGAAGGCAGTCAGGCCTTCTTACTGGGGAAAGGATCACCCTTTGCTGTATTTGTAGACTTTGCTTCACTCAGTCCATCAATGCAGATGCTAATCTCACCTGACCTGGTCTAGTTGGTACATAAAATTAAGCATCAAACAACCATACACTATTTCTGTGGTACTCTTGCCAAAAAATGAATGGCCTCATCTAATCATAAGAAAATTGTACAAAAGCCCAAGTTGATGATACTTCACAAAATAACTGACCAATATTCTTTAAAATTGTCAAGGTTACTAAAGACAAGGAAAACCTAAAGAACTTTCATCAAGTGAAGGAGTCTAAGCATTTGTGTGGGATTTCAAAGTAAAAGCTTAAAAAAGTGGTCTGTTATTGGGTACTCTGAAGACTTTTTAAAGACAAGAGGATATTTACATTTATAACAACCCCTTGTGGGTGTATACACATATAATTTTGTATTTATCACTCAACATTTTCTACAGATAATAAATTCCATTCCTACTTTTTTTGTAAATACCTTTTAAAAAAATCTTAGATTTCTGTTCTTTTTTCCCCTTCTCTATTTTATATTCCTTCCAGAGCAGAGCATCCTTCTGCAGACTTTCGCAGCTCAGCCTTCCTGCTGTTCCATGGGGGTCTTCAGCTCTGAGATGATATGGAGACAACATTGGGCTGAAGTCAGAAGGCCTGGGGTGCCAGCATTCTTAGTCTGGTTCTGCTACTAAGCAGAGCCCCTCCACTTTTAGCATTCTGAGAACAAATGGAAAATTTTGGTTAAACACTATATGCACTAGTTTATGTATGGGTTCAAATAATTATGCTAACATATTTTTTTTGGTGGTCCTGTGGTTTGAACTCAGGGTCTCCTGCTTGCTAAACAAATGCTCTACTACTTGAGCTGTACCGTGAAAGCATTGTATTTTTACATTGTTTTCTTTTTATAAAGGTCCTATATACTCTGTTTTATCCATATGTATAATCCCCTAAACTCTTTGATTTTTGCAACAGACTTCCCAATTTACACTCTTAACATTTCCCTTAGAGAACTTTTTTTTAAAGCAATTCAAGGAAAGCAATATTTTCTTTATTCCTTTTTATTTATTTTTTAGTCAGGAATCTGTTTTTGCTTTTTTTAAAAAATCTTTGTTTCCTTCTCTCTGAAGCTGTGTGTAACTCTTCTCACAGTACCTCCAAAGCCAACTCATGGCTGCCTTTGGAGGACTGACCAAGGTTGGGCCATGAATGGACAGAGCCTGGGCATGATGCCATAGGGAGGACTCTGGTTTTCTGACTGACATAACTCTCCTGCCCCAACAGAAGTCATAAGCCCTCTGGGGAGGAGTCCCTCTGCAACCTGCATTCTTTTTTTTTTTTTTGGTGGTATTGGGGTTTGAACTCAGGGCTTCATGCTTACTAGACAGGCACTCTACAAATTGAGCCTCTCCACCAGCCCTGTTTTTTTTGAGATAGGCTCTCATGAACCAAATGCCCGGGCTGGCTTTGAATCGCAGTCCTCCTGTTCTTTGCCTCCTAAATAGCTAGGATTGCAGGTGTGAGCCACCAGTCCCCCACTAACCTAAATCTTAATTCCAGCCAGGCAGTGGCTGAGGCATGGAGCCAACAAGCTGCACCATTAAGAACTGACAGGGCTGGGGGTGTGGCTCAAGTGGTAGAGCACCTGCCTGGCAAGCATGAGGCTCTGAAAAAATGCCAGTATCACTAAAAGAAAAAAAAGAAAGAAAGAAAAGAAGTAATTGACAGTTTGGGGAACAAATGATACCTAGTTGTTGTTATCATTGTTAATTTTGCTCAAGTAATATTTCCACATTTCCTCAGCATTTAGGTAACAGGCTTAGATTCTGGGGCAAGACTCAAATGATGGAGAAGTTGGTTAACAACAGGAAATACTCAAAGGCTTTAAAATGGATAACTTGATCATCCTCACCAGAAAAGACAATTTGGTTAGGTTCAGCATATTTTCCTAGTGTAGGATTTTTCTTGGTAGAAATGATTTTTTAAATCACTTCCAGCTATATTTGTGCAATAATGGTTTGTTGACTGCATTCCAATCTCCAGGAGATTCCCCTCCTCTTACCTATGCAATATTATCAGATATCAGACTTCCTCAGTTGGCCACTGATGAGTGGCAGAATGGACACATAGATCTAGAGAACACAATGTAGAACTGTGCTAGGGATGTAGAAAACATGGTATAAGAGCTCATTAAGTAAAAATAAGAAATGACTCCTACTTTCAGAGAGCTTGCCATTTAGCTGGAAGAACAAAATTAATAAATAAAAAGCAACCCGTGAGTGCATAGCACAGAATTGACAAAAGCCACTTAAAGGGCCTGAGAGGAAGAGGTAGGAGGTATTTCTGTATGGTCTGCACAAGTCACATCAGCTATTCTTGACACCTAGCAAAACTTCCCATTTTATACTTCAGGAAGTTGAGGTTCATAGGCATTAAACATCATAATGTCCTATAAAGTCTACATACAAAAGTGACATTTGAGCTCAGGGTTGTATGGGTTCAGAGTGCCTATTGCCACCAGCTAGAGGAGGCAGAGAGAGCTTTGAAAGGAGGCTGGGGCTAGACCTCAAAGGATGGATAGAATTTGCTCCATAGAGAGAAGTAGGAAGCACATAAATGTTGTGGGGGTCAGGGAAAGGGGTGGGCACCTCATGAGCAAAGGTGTAGCAGTGGAAAACACAAGGTGTGCTGGGGAATGGCAGGTGCTCTTCAGGTTTTCTAGAACATGGATTGGTAGAATTCTAGGCCAATGCTTTGAACATGGCTGGGCTTTATGAACATACAAAGAAGGCTGTGATATCTGGGTCTTGTCTATGTCATAACTCATTTCATAAACTATTGAAAGTGTTGGTCAAAGAGTGTGATGGAATGAGTGTCTTAGGAGACTGAAGTTCAGGTGGGATGTGGAATGACCGGAGATGGGGGGTGGGGGGAAACTGTCATCACGAACGCTACTGTTTATTGATTTACTAAAATGCAGTACTATGTGCTTTACCTGCTGTGTGATTTTCCTCACAGTAGCCCTAAGGAATAGGCATTTTGGAGATCATCCCCATTTTGAGGCAGGAAAATTGAGGCTTTGAGAGGTTAAGTACTGAACAGGATGAGTAACAGTGTGCTAGGATGTGACACAGGTAGACTCATCTCCCCCTGTGCCGCTGGCTGCAAGAGCACTTGACCACAGCTTAGGAGACAACTCAGGCAATTATAATCAGTCAGCTGTGACAGTTCAGGTGGTAAGGCCTGAACCATGTTAGTGGTGGAAACAGATGGCGGGGCCTGACGCTGGGACTGACCTGTGGCCTCACAGCTTCTTTTAGCTTAGTGTTTCCTGAGGAATCTGGTGCTCAGTGTTGAGAACTTGCCAACCCCATGGGGGGATCATGGAAAACTTTGTTTCCAAACTTCTTAAGTAGCCTTGGCTTCTTGTTTTTCTTGAGGAAATGGATTGATTTACTCATGTAAGCACTGGGGTCAAGTGTGCTTGGTCTGGTTTATTTTGGAGGTGGTTGAGGCAAATTTCCAGGTATTATTAAACAGCACAGATTTAATTACTATAGCTCAACAGGATGTTCCCTGGAGGTCAGTTGGTGATCAGTTCTTCCCTTTTTTCTACAAACACCCTCCCTTATTTGCTTATCTGGATACATTTCTCCTCTGTGGGCCAGTGTATCACAGAATTGATTAATCTACTTTACATTTGTTCTAATATTTTTTGTAAAGAAAAAATGCATGCATTTTTACTCTGCAAAACTTTCTGGTGCAGGGGCTGGTGAAATGGCTCAGGTGGTAACAGCACCTGGTTAACAAGTATGAAGCCCTGAGTTCAAACCCCAGCACCACCAAAAAAAAAAAAAAAACCCAAAAAACTTTCTGGTGCAGTTAAATGAGAGTATGATGAGAGTGTACTGAATGCCTCTGTGATCGCTGTGGCAAGCCCTATGATCACTGTGGCTAGCCCTGTGATTTCTCTGTTCTTTTGCTGCAGGTGACAAGAAGTACATCATGGGGCCAAAACTTTCCACTCTCGATGCCACCATCTTTGGACACTTGGCGCAGGCAATGTGGACCTTACCAGGGACAAGACCTGAGCGGCTGATCAAAGGCAAGCTTTACAAACCTCTTCAGATTTAGGAGGTGATGGGGGTGGTGGGTAGGGGTAGCAGCATGTAGAATTCTAGGCCAATGCTTTGAACATGGCTGGGCTTTATGAACATACAAGGAAGGCTGTGATATCTGGGGCCAGGATCAGTTCTCTGTCTGCTCCTTGCATAGTAAGTAGCCCTGTTGCAGTAACAGGGCTTGAATTATACCTAGTACCTGTGTTTTGTTGGTCTTTCTTTCCTATGGTATATCACTTTCTGATGTATCCAGTACTACAGCAACCAGGGCAAGGTGAGACCAATAAACTCACTGCCTACCTCAGATGCTCTTTTTGAGTCTGAATTGGTCTCAGATATTTCACATGTAGTATAAGTACAGTTGAATCTGGGTCACTTGAGTTCAAGGCATTTCTTCCTTCTATTCCAGTGAGGGAACTGTAGATCAGAAGAGCTAGAAAGCTCAAGACTGTAGGGAAATGAGGAAATAGTCAGCAAATGCTAAGTCTAACAATAAGAGTAGTAGCGTTAATAATATTATATATGCAAAGAAATACAGTTTTGGTATCTTTGTTGTGTAAGGGTTATAAGAATTATAATCCCTGACGATAGGACATTGTTAGAAGTGGGGATGAATGGGACCAGTGCAACACAATGAATATGGGATGGGATGGGGTTGGTAGCCACGAGTAAAATTCATGGTGGCAAGGTGGTAGGGAAAGTCAACTCACCTTGGGTTGATGTCCGAGGACCAGATCTTGGTGTACACGTGTGTGGTGGGGTTGAGGTTGGGATGGCAGCTGGGACTATCACCCCTGTGTAGGTGGGTGGTAACTGTTTGAGGTCATTTTCAGTACAAAGCAGAACCTGGTGGCTAGGGATGTGGGAATCAAAGTTCAATAATTAGGTTTGGGGGAGGAGATTGGCAAGAATTAACAAGTTTATGCTCAACTGAGCAGGCAGGGGTGTGGCTGATATCACCAGTGGAAAGGTACATGGAATACTCTTCTTTCTTTTTTCCTTTGCAGTTCTGGGGATTGAACCCAGGACCTTGTGCATGCAAGGCAAGCTCTCTACCACTGAGCTACATCCACAGCTTTTATGTGGAATACTCTTAATAAGTGTTGCCTGGGTGAATGGGCAAATGGATGAATGGGAACCAGTAAGGCAGAATCATATGAGAAACTGAAGCAGACAAGCAGTATGCATGATGGCCATGGTGGGGAGACTGGTGAAACTTGCAGCTGTGCATGTGTGTGTGTATGTGTGTTTGCACATGTGTATACCCAAGATTTCAGACCAGCAGGGGGCTAGCACACTCACGCTTCAGATCCTCTTACTGGTGGGGATAGGACTCCAGATCATGACCAGACTTTGCTGCAGTAGATCAGGAGTTGATTGAAGGTCTTCTGGAAGTTCAGTGTCTCTAAGTCTCACCTTAGGCACTGTTTCACTCCCTTTTTAAACCTTTTAATTGGACTTTCCCAAGAAGGAACAAAAGAAGACTTGGTAGAAACAACTAAGAGCTCAGGTGGATAATTGAGATCTGGCTTAAACCCATGAGTGGATGGGCAGTTTTCTGCCTTAGCCTTGGAATAGCTAAGGCACTGCTGGCTTTGCCATCCATGTGTATAAGTATGTGAATGAATATTTGTTTTTAATCCTAGCTATTATTTAGAAAGTCACACAAGCTAGTTCTGGAGCCATCTTGAATAGGAAGAAATTTTCTTAATTTAGGTGAATAGGAGTACAGACTGAATATTCAGCAATTCTTTTTTTGGGAGGTGGGTACTGGGGTTTGAGCATTTCCTAGGCAGGTACTCTACCACTTGAGCCATGCCCCAACACTTTTTGCTTTAGTTGTTTTTCAGGTAGGGTCTCGTGTTTTTCTTGCCTGGTGGTCTGGACCGTGATCTTTCTATTTATGCCTTCCACATATATGGAATTACAGGTACACACCACTGTATCCACCTTTTTGTTGAGATGGAATCACACTAACTTTTTGCTTGGACTGACCTTGAACGATGATCCTTCTGATCTCTACCTACTGAATATCTAGAATTATATGCATGATCCACTATACCCAATGCCAGAAATTCTTAAAATACGCATGCGTGTGTGTATTACGTGTGTGTGTGTGTGTGTGTGTGTGTATAAAATATTACTTGTTTACTGTAGAAAATATAAAAGGAAAGGTTTTGTTTTGGCAGTACTGGGGTTTGAACTCAGTGCCTTGTGCTTGCTAGGCAGGTACTCTATCACTTCTCCAGCAGGATAGAAAAGTTTTAAAAGAAAAAAATTACTTGTGACTTCATCATCCACAGAAAACTACTGTTAATTTTGTACCATGTGCTTTCATCATTTATCAAGTACAAGTATGTATATATATTTAAAAAATGGAATCATAATGTTCATAAAAATATGCTGTGAATTCTGGCTTTTCCCTTTGTCACTAAATATTCTTCAAAAATTCATTTGTAGTAGTCACATAATAACCTATCACTATATTATAATTATTATTATCAGCAACACTCTTAATGTGGAGTCAGAATTGATATCAGGGAACTTATCTGTGCTCTAAGAAAAATTTCATTCAGCAATTTTCGCCAACGATGATTTTTGTACCTGGATGCCTTCTTGTGCTTATTACTTAATAGATTGAAAAGTGGGAAAATGCTGGATATCCTTGAAAAGCAGGTTGGTATATCCTTACCCCTGCACTCCGTGGTTGGTTCTCTAGCTGGAAGTAGTCAGGAAGAGGTTGTTGGGGGGATCCAGATCTCAGGAAAGGGCTGGGTCAAAAGGCCTTTGTGGGTGTTTGTGTTTCAGATCTGTGAATTAGTATCACAGATCACCATATTTTTACTGTCAAGGAGAAGGGGCAAAAGGGATGTTCTCATTACAGTATTCAAGTATGCTAAGAACTTTTCAGAAGAGGATATGCTCCAGTACCTACCATGGGTCTGAGACAGGGAGGTGCTCAGTATATACCTGCAGAGTACATGTGTGTATTTGGGCATTAGCCCCATGTTTTCCAAATATTTCCTGGTCAGTGACCCAGGACAGGCCAGAGGTGCTGGACATGTGGCAGGCTTCTCCTTCACTGTCATCAGGCACCTGGAGAAATATGATTCTGGGTCTGGCTAACGGTGTTTCCAGTGTTAAAATGTACAGAATGGCTTTGATTTTTAGAAAAATTAGAGTGATACAGTTACTGTTTTCAAAGAGCAGTGGAGGGCATTTCCATTTGAGAAACTGTAAGAAGTGTCTGCATTCTGTCTTGGATTATCTTCAGGGTAGAAGAGTGATCAGCCCTGGTAAGTATCCTTCTAAGTTGTATGACAGCATCATTTAGTTTTTGCTAATTTATTTAATTGGATTATCAATTTTAAAAAGTAATATGATGCAGTCACAAGTAGAATCAGACAGGAACAAATTTAAAAATGTATGAACTCCCTTCATCCAGTGCCAGTATCACCCCATATGGAATAATCAATACTGAGGATTTAATGGAGATCCTTCTGTGCCTTTTTTTCCCCTGTACAGATTTACATACACAATCTATGTGTTTGTTTTGGGTGTTTGGATGTTTTTTGTTTTTGGTGGTAGTGGGGTTTGAACTCAGGCCTCACACTTGCTAGGTAGGTGCTTTATCACTTGAGTCATGCCCCCAGCTCAGCCCTTTTGCTTTAGTTATTTTTGGACATGGTCTCCCATTTTTTGCTGTGGACCGAGATCCTCCTACCTATTCTTTCTGCATAGCTGGGACTTCAGGCATGCACCACCAATCCTGACTTACTTTGTTGAGATGGGTTCTTAATAACTTTTTGCTTGGGCCGACCTTGAACTATGATCTTGCCAATTTCCAACTTCACGGTATCTGGTACTATGGATCTGAGCCACCACACCTGTTTGTTTTGACTGTTTAAACCAGACAATAGAACACTATACACATTACTCTATGCCTTGCTTTTTTCACTCAACAAAATGTCATGTCTCTTAAACAGCTACATAACATTCTATGGAGTGGACAGTTTATTCAGTCATTCCCTATCAATGGACATTTCAGCTGATTCTTTTATTTCCCTCCTTCAACCTGCTCTTCTTCATTTCCTTCTCTTCTGTTTAACATCCATGCGCATGTACCCTTACATACTGTCGCTTCTATTTTAGTAGAGTACTAAAAGTGGAATCCTGGACCAACAGATCTGTACTTTTAAAATTGTATAGATAACATCAGATTACTTTCCAGGAAAAGGTTATAGCAGTTAATACTGTCACCAGCTATGTAGTGCAGTGCTTGACCTCTACATTCTCAAACTTAAATTTTTAACAGTCTAGAGATGAAATTGTTTTGTAGAAGTTTTTCTATTATTTCACAAATTTACACCTTCAATATAGGCATTTATATTAATGCAGGTGTATCACATACACACGCGCGCACACACACACACACACACACACACACACACACACACACACTACTTCATGCCATCTATTTCTACTGCCAGCCTGTTCTATGACCCATGTTGAGTGGGTCAACTGATTGGGAATTCAGTCACAGAATGGAATGGGCAGAGCCAGATAAAGGTAGAGCCCAACTCTAGATGTTCACATTTTGGTTTTTTTGCTCTTTTTCCAGGGCAGGGTATGAGAGGGCTGTGAACTCCAGTCCTTTTTCATCAAAACAACTCTTTCTCAATAGAGTGGTAGGATTCCTGCTTCTTTCATGACAACTCACTGCTGTTAGGGATGGTTCCTGTGCTCTTATGGTTCTTGAGACCCAGGAAGAAATACATAGAAATAGTCCATGACAAGTAGCACACAGCTACTAATTCCTAGGCCAGGCTGTCCAATCATCAGTAGAGACAAAAATAGAGTCACAGTGGAGGTCAGCAGACCAAGGGAGTTAATAAGAATTTAACAGATGAGTGAAGCACTTCAAAGAGTGTCTGGTATACAGTAAGGACTATACAAGTGCATATGATCATCAATTTTTATTATTGTACACTGTAGTAGAATTAGTGTCACACAGTCACAAAGGGGCAACTCCTCTAAAAGAAAGCGGAAGAAATAGGGTGTAGAAAGAAAAGCTACAAAGAGATGGGTAGCATCTTAGATCCATGCATCCTGCGGGTCTTGTGAGCAGATTTTGACTCTCTAGTTCCTTGGGAGCAGCTCCTGGGGAATGGATTTGATTGTCTCAAACAGGGCCATTCCCAGGGCCTACTGTGAAGTGACCATAATTTATCTTTAATATATCTTTACCTTTCATATTAGGTCTATTCCCTCCCTCTTACTGCTGCTTCCCCATCCATTTCCAATTCTTGCTTACTTGTGTTTGGCAGTGGTACCTAGGGAGGTGTGGCATGACTGTTCCCCAAGGGAGAAAATAAGTGGTTTTCCATGCATCTCCTTAGAAGAAGCAGTGACACTGATTTTTCAGCTCCTGCTTCTGAGCATGTCTATAAGCATCTTCTAGTAGAGGACCAATCAAAACAGAATCTTACAGTGCGAATCACACTGTCATGCTCTAAGACTGAAAACGGTGACCTGGAACCAGTATAAGTCTATTGGTTTACAGGATCCCTGAAGCAGGGGTATTTTCTTGGTTGTGTTTATAGAGGATCTGTTTGTTTAAGAAAAACAGCAATTGGGTCTTGAAAAATTTTAATGACATGGAAAAAGTTTTTAATGATAATGTTACTGGGGATAATAGGTAATAATAATGGCAATAAATAAACAGAAAAATATTGAAAGAAAATTCACCAAAATGTTAATTGTGATTATTCTGGATTGATGATATCATAGGTGCTCTTTGTTTTCTTCCTTATATATTCATACAACTATATACAGACTTTTAATTTTTCAAAATGACAATATATTACTTTCTGTAATAAAGAAATAGATACTTACAGACTAATAAACACAGCTATTACTGTAGACCCAACTGAAAAGACCTGTGATGGGGATTTGTAAAAACAAAATTAAACTATGCTTCATTCACATAATAAAATACTATGCAATAAATCACAATAGGCATAGTGTGATTCAAAGATTTTTTATTATGTATTGTTAATTGAAATAGCAGGACAGGGAATTGACTATAGTAAATCCTACATAGCAAATGTAAATATATTTAAAAACATAAACTTCTGTAAGAATATAAAGAAAATATATATGGAGAATGGAATTATTGGTAATCCTTTTATTTTTTGTTTAGATGTATTTTCTAATTTTCTTCAATAAAACATGGATTACCTACATAATAAGTGAATAATTATAAACTTAAAAATTTTCCAAAGAATATTCTTAGGGTAATAATATCCTGTTAGAGATAGTGCCAAATTATGTATTTATAAGCAATGTTGCCATCTGGTGGATCAAAGGCAAAAACTCATTCTTTTTTCTTTGTTTTCATTTGCAATTAGGAAGTGAAGGCCAAAGACCATGTCATGTTTAGACAAATGCCTAGACAATGCTAGTGACTTCATAAAAGTGTTCCTTTGATTCAGATGAAAAAGAAATAGTTCAAAGATTGGGAACCCAAATGTGGGTACAGCTGTTTAATTTAAAGAAGTTGAAGGATTAAAAAATACCAGTTTTAGCAAATGTGTTGGTAGACACACATATCCGTAAAGTTAATTCTGAGTTATCCAGTTGATGGATCATTTAGAGAAAAGTTCATATCCTAACACAATTTTTTCCATCTACTTGGCAAAGTTCCCAGCCTATAATAAATGCTATAAAAATTTGTGGAATGAATGATTACCTCTGGCTGACTTCACACAACCAGCAGTTGGTGTATTTTCATGGAATATAAATTAATTAAATGTGAACCAGTGAACACATTAGTTCTCTTGATATGTAAACCTAAAATAATAAAATGCTTCATGAAGCCAAATGATGGTAGTTTATTTGCTATTTTGGATAATCTTTCCTTTACTTCCCATCTCTGGGACTTGCTCCTTTATTTCAGTCAATCCACTTATTGAATTTACTTTTTCTTTTAATTTTTGAATTAATGTCTACTCTCCCTCATTCTTCCCAGGAATCCCAGTTGCTCAATGTCTTGCTTCCAATACCATAAGTTAGGTGGCTTGTAAGCAACAGAAATTTTTTCTCACAGTTCTCGAGGCCAGGAAGTCCAGGATCAGGGCATGGCAAGTTCGGTGTCTGGTGAGAGCCTGCCTCTGGGTACATAGATGGCAAATGCCTTCCTCCTGTGTCCTCATGTGGTTGAAGGGGCAAAGCAGCTCTCCTGAGCTGCTGTTAGAAGGCACTGATCCCAGTCATGAGGGCTTTGCCCTCACAACCTAATCACTTCCAAAGGCCCCATCTCCTATACCATCACTTTGGGGGTTAGATTTCAACATTTGGATTGGGGGCAGGGGGCACAGGCATTCTAACCATAGAACTATTAGGATGTTGCCTTTGAGAGTTAACCCTTGCTTTTACTTTGCACACTGCAGGTGAGCTGATCAACCTTGCCATGTACTGTGAGAGGATAAGGAGGAAATTCTGGCCTGAGTGGCACCACGATGATGACAACACCATCTATGAATCTGAGGAGAGCAGTGAAGGCAGCAAAACTCACACCCCCCTGCTGGATTTTAGCTTATACTCAAGGACAGAGACCTTTGAAGATGAGGGAGCAGAGAACAGTTTTTCCAGAACCCCAGACACAGATTTCACCGGACACTCACTCTTTGATTCTGATGTGGACATGGATGATTACACAGATCATGAACAGTGCAAGTGACGTCCAGCCTTGTTGACCCTCTTCCTTTGGAGCTGCCACAACTTGGGGTCGGCCCATTTTCCCAGGTAGAAATCCATCTGAGCTGGGAGGAGATCTTCGTGCTTGGCCCAGTTTTCACATGCTAACTGGACAATAGCCGCCTTATTTCTTTTTTGTACAGAGAAAACACAGAACCATTCAAATGACTGCATTTAAAGCAAACAGGAAAAAAATCAGCATGGTTCCTGAAATCCATTTTTGTTTTCATTAGAAAACTAATATTGTGTGGCAGAGCAGGTAAATAAGTGGATTGTCACCTCTTCAGTTGAGGGCATAGTTGTAAAATGGATTTTTGAGCATCCTTCATCCACTAGGAGTTGACAAGACTTGTCGTCAGACAAGACTTAGGAGATAAATGTTCTTTGGTGGCCACTTGTATGTTATGTGTATAATTGAATGTTGAGAAATAAGTCAAATAAAGTCCACAGGTAACCAATGGACACCTACTATGTGCAAAGCACTGAGCTGGGTGCTAATCAGTATCAGTTTTATTCTATGCCCTGCCAGTGACTAGATGTGTGATTTTGGGCAAGTCCCTTAACTATTGTGTGCCTCATTTCTCCCACCTGTAAAGTGGGGATAACAATACTCTCCACCTTCCTACCTCACAGGGCTGTTGTGGGGATTCATGTGGTAACATTCGTATGGCACTGGAAACCTCTTAGAAGTGGTATGACACGTACACATTTTATTCTTTCTTATGCTTCATACATGTGACGATCTGAGGGCAAAGGATTTTCATAGCTAGGCAACAACAACCACAATTGCTTGCAAAAGTTGAGCAGGTGAAACACACACAAAGCCACAGTTAGGACTTTGTCATCATTTCCCTTTGTGATCTGGCTTGGGTCAAAATATTTTATTGAAAGAACCTTGGAAATGTTTTTACAAATTTCCACCAGCTACAAGTGGTCATCAGCTCCACTGTGTAGTTACAGAAAGGTGTTCCTTTCATGAGCTAAACTCACACTGGATTGTTTTTCTTTCTTGCCTCCAGAGTGTTAAGTTGCCCATGTGTGAGTTATTTGGAGAGAATAAAGTTCAAGAATAATAGTTAATAGAGGTGAAGAGGAAAGTATTTGATCTTTGTAGGTAGAAGCTTGTCAACTTGTCTTTTTGAAAACTTTGAACTTTGTGAAGATGTATTGAAAAGAGGAAGAAGCTCATGTTACTTATATCAAAGCACTCTATACAGTGATAGACCACATGTAGTTTTATTAATGCATCTTATCTGGTATTTTCCACCATTGCCCAATGAGATCCGGGCAGCATTGAGGTCAAATCTTATGTTTCTTAAAGATTGCCCATCCCTAATGAACTGTTGGGGTTACCTGTACTTGCAAAGGCACTATATCTTAAAAGACATAACATTTGTTCACTGACGATATTTTCTTAGGAAATATGACTCAAGAATTCTGTGTGATAGCTGTGAATTTGGGCTAGGAAAGCCAGTGTTATCATTTGTAAATTCAAATGGCTTTGCCTCTGACTGGCTGGATGAGGATTACTCATTATGGGGTTAAAGTGGTACTTTGTACAAAACAGAAGCTTCTGAGAAATTCATGTACTTTACTTGGAAAAAATCTTTTTAAATATAGCTTTTGCCTAACAATCTTAAAAAACTGCTATGGATCCACAGAGGCAAAGGCGGGAAAGTTTTTGATGCTATTTACCAGTTAAACAACTACAGAGCTTATGTAAGTGGGAATAAATGCTGAGGTACCTTAAGTTAGAAATTCTTTTTTAATTCTCCCCCTCCTCTAGAAATTCTTATTCTTCAAGAAATTCAGCTGTGAATATTTTACTAAAATCATTCCCTGTCAAGGGGACTGTTTGGTGCTTAATGGGAATGGGGTGGAAAAGCATGAATAACCCTGCTTTGAGTCTCAGCATCATTTGGGAAGATTTTTTGCATCCTCTGTTTAAGGAGTGTGTTTGAGGGCCAGCTGGTGACAGTTCTGTGTGACTAGGAAAACTCCTGGCCTGAAAATGTGAATATAAGGGTCTGTCTTCACAAAGATTGAATTGCTGGCCTCCCACCCTCAGCTGGGAAGAAATGTCCTAAATTTTGTCTGCAGACAATTTATTATTACTGTATAGCATCAAGTGTGACATGTTTTCACTGTAAGAATTATTAATTATGAGTATGTAGATTAATATATGTTTTTTATGTGCAATACTTGGAGGGCAACTAGGTGGAGAGTCAGTGTTGAAAGTTACATTGTAGAACAACAACGCATTTCATCTAGGTAGTTCCTTCGGGTTCATGAATAGACATTGTCAGTTGGAGTCTTGGGTAATTGGACAGCTTACAACTGGGCACTTAGTGTTTTGTAGATACAAACTGAATTGGAACTCTAGAATATACCCCAGTCTTATTTTCCCAGCATAGGTTATGGAAACAACATGACCAAGGCAAAATCACCATAATATTGGGAGGGCTTTAATTTTTGTTTCATTCTTAAGCTGTCCAGATCTGAAGTGTTCTATCTGATGAACAGGTGCTATTTATAAGGAAAAAAAACCCAAGAAATTAGGAAACATTTTGGTCATCTGTCTCACTTGTTCAAGTTCTGTTTCTTTTTTACTGGAAAATAACTAGAGGAAACATCTGTTATGTTAAAAATGCTTTTGATTGGGCAGAAGATCTATGAGCTACCTGTTCATTTTCACCTTTTATTGTAAAAATAAAGTCTTCTCCTGTATCTACCTCGTAACCCCCACACCCATCAGAATCAATGAGCACATATGCTTTTTGATCCATCAGAGCAGATATAAGGACAATTTAAATTTATGCAGAGATAGACTGTATTGTCATCTTTGCCATTGTATTGTTACATAATTAATTGAGAATAGTGACACTACCAAGGCCATAGCTACCAGCCATGAGCAGACTTAGAACAACTTGGACCAGAATCACAACTGCAGTCCAGTCATCAAGTAAGCCCTGCCATATATACAGAGGTATTGATGTATCCTTTTTCGAAATGGGCAGTGTTCAAGAAAAGGAAGTGAAAAGTATTTTAGCTTCATGGGTCTTTTGTAGATTTGTTTGAGAGAAAGTATAGCATCATAGAATTGTATAATTCTATGAAGAATTAATTCTAAGAAGCTCCTTAGGCAGATTCAAGAATTAGCTCTAAGACGCTCCTTACAAGAGAACCCCAAGATTGCTATTGTCTCAGTGTCACATATATACATATCTGAAAGGCAGGACCAGAACTGAGGTCTTTTTCCTTGCCCTAAAGGACTCTTTTCATTACACCACCTTGTTTGGTTTCCTTATAAAACCTATGTTCCTGAGGAATCACTCCATGTTCACATAATGAACACATACCTAGCCTCTCTCAGAGTGTGCTTGGAATCCTCCTTTATTCTCACTCCTCATGTCAAGTCCCTATGTCAGGTCTAGGCCAATTTGAAAGACCTTTCTTTGGTCTCCCAGTACCAGTGTATGGTACTGCTAGGCTCTTTGAATTATAGCAAGATGGATTTCCAAATGACTGAGTTATTCACCTTTGTGCCTCTGCTCATACCGCCCCCTCTCCTGATATGCCCTACCCTCCTCTCCACTGGCCCAAATCATAACCTGTCTCTTAAGGCCCAATTTTATCAGTTCTGCATGAGGAATTTAGAGCTCATTATAGCATCTCCTTCCTCTAAAAACAAAACATTCATCACTTCCTTCCCTGAAATCTATATGAGAAAGATTTGCTCAGAAAAGAAAGTGGTTTTTCATTTGTGTGTGTGTGAGAGAGAGAGAGAGAGAGAGAGAGAGAGAATGCATTGATAATCTGTCCTATTCCTATCCCCAGAAAAAAAAATATATATATACATATATATGTATGTATGCACTGATACCTAAAAATTTAAATGTAAATTCAGGAGATTTAGAGACTTAAAATTGTTCATGGATTCCTTAGGGAGTCATAGACTCTAGTTGAAGAAGTCTAATTTTAAAAAGTCTTTCAATGTTACTTTTTTGGTGTTTTTTTCTTGTCTTTAACTCATCTAGAGAAGAAAATTAGTATGAGGTATACAAGCAAAAACCTCATGCCCCATGGCTTTTTTTTTTTTTTTTTTTTTTGGCTGTACTAGGACTTGAACTTGCTAGGCAAGCGCTCTACCACTTGAGCCATTCCACCAGCCCATCCCATGGCTTGTTTTAAAAATAGGATTTAGCTTTTGAATTGTCATGATAATTACTGGAGGCTAAATAGATAACAAATAATATAATGGTTTGTTGGAGGGTTAGAAAAGAGGAATGCTTTGGATGTTTGCTATCTTCTTCCTCTTCAGAAACACAATCTGTGGACATTCTCCTTTAAGAGTAGTTAAAAATTGAAGTGTTCTTTCATATTTCCTTGTATGCCCTCCCACACAAAGATTTTTTTGAAAATCTTTGTAGGCACCCCAGATTATCCCTATTTAGTCAGTAATCTCCAAACTTTTGTGTTTATTCACTTTATCAGTAAAACTTTCTGCCCACGCCCCTCAATGTATTTGTTGAGAGGATACATATGTATACAGGTGTATACAGTGTATTTGTGTGTTTATGTTGCCATATATGTCTATACTGCTAGACCTGACATGTAACATAGGGTAAAAACCATAGCAGGCACAGAAATATAAAAAGTATACTCACTGGCACTCAATAGGCTTTAAGGAAAGAGGAAGGGGTATTTAGAGGTAGCACCCAGAAGGTTGTAGTTGACCAGAGACTGTGTCTGTAATGTGGCAAAGTAGATATAAAATAGGTATGGACGCCTGACTTTATGTCAAGGTGTTTAGTTATTTATTTTACTCAAAATAGGCATTTTTTGGTTAGGTGAAGGAAAGAGTGAGCAATTAGATGTCACTTTTACAAGAGCTCTTTTTAATTCTGGTTTTGGGACCACTTAATCTAGAATACCTTGAAAATTCCTGAAGGATTTCACATTACACCAGTTTGCACAAAACAAGTAAAGAAAGGGGGAATGACCCAAATAATGTAAACACAGGGTTTATTGTCAGAGAATTTCAGCACCCACCTGAGAAAGTGTTTGAGAGTGGCTGGTAATCATCATCTCACTGATTATATGTCTTACTTGTTTAAAATCTCCTGTATGCAAATGTGTGGAAGATATACAGATTTATTTCCACATATCTGAGCTAGCAAGGGCCGACGTTTGCATGATTTGAACCCACATTTCAGCTGCTTGGGGCTGATGGTGGACACTGCCTGGAGACATTTACCTGCACCATCTGGATTGCAAACACAATGAATAGCATCTCTGATCAAGGGCCTGATGCAGAGGCGGCATTCCAGTGTTTATTTCTGGACCTATGAATTATTTTAGCACAGTTATTGTTAGTAGTTTTAAAGCCATATTTAAACTTGTACACTTGATTGTAAGATAGATTTGAATTGTGCTCTATTTGATTACTGTATATAAATGTGGAAATTCTGTATATTTGTTCTTAATGCTATATGTATTTGATGTGTAAATGATAACTAATGGATATGAAATAGCTTGCTGTGAATGTCTTCATTCCAATTCACTTCTCTTTTGCAAATTTGAATGTTTAACTTTATACTCATGGGGAAAATCTGAGATTTTTGCATCTAATATACAGTTAAGTGGTGGTCTGTTAGATGATTAGGAGAATATTTTAGTTGTAAATGTCTTGCATAATTAGAACAAGGTAATGAATTTTTT